GTCATATACGCGTAGCCATATTTGTTTACAATTAGAACGTTTTACCCCCCGCGAAGCCCGCATCACGGATGGGTCCGCTCGATGTATGGCCGTTTCTACGCCCTCTCTCCCTTCGCCCTGCTTTAGACCTAATAAAACACGACCTGCGAATTTATTAAACGGCTTCAAACACGACTACAAATTCAATAGATATACTGCCTTATTAGTATTCTTTATATAAAGAATCACTAATGAGGACACGACTACAATAGATACTGCTTTATTAATATTATTTATATAAAGAATACTAATTAGGAGTGTTTTATCAGGTTTAAAGCTACTGCACGTGACATATTATGGTTGACATGATTTGCCAATAAGCTTATGAATTATTAATGAGTGTTTGAAATGTATTTTCAAACACTCATTAATAATTCATGAAGCAAATATCCAATCTTGAGTAAGAAATTAGTCACGTGCATACGTCTTTATACCAGCTAAAGAACACTTTAACAAAAGCCATTGTTATGCAAACTATATAAAGATTTTTATATAAAGATTTGACTTATTATGCAAACGTTTTTGAAGCCATTTAAAAAACTCGCAGGTCGTGTTTTATTAGGTCTAAAGCCACTCGCGCTGCGCGCTCGTGGCTTTAAACCTAAGAAAACACTCCTGCTCGTTTTTTAAACAGTACTTCAAACACTCATTAATAATTCATAAGCTTATTGGCAAATCATATCAACCATAATGTCACGTGCAGTGGCTTTAAACATGATAAAACACTCCTGCTCGTTTATTAAACAGTACATAATGGCTGTCCACTGAGAGATAATGAGGTGTGATTAGTTGCAAATATGTTTCATTAAAATTTAATTATTAAACTGAGATTAGTTCTAATCATACCCCTTAATTAGAGTTAAAATACTCATTAATAATTCATAAACCTTGTGGCAAATCATGTCAGCCATAATATGTCACATGGAATGACTTTATATCTGATAAAACTCATCCTCATTAGTATTCTTTATATAATTGTTCATCCTATAATTAGTATGATTATATAATTGTTCATCCTAATTAGTAGTCTTTTGTAGTCGTATTTTAAGCTATCCAAAACACTCATTGTCGTGTTTTATCAGACATAAAACGTTTCACGTTTTATATCTGATAAAACACTCCTACCCGTGTTTTAAATAGTACTTGTAAAATTCATGAATAATTAATAAGGCCACAAACAAATCACGACGCGGTATTTAGGTCACATATGCACACTTGTAAACGTACCGCATTAATAAAGATCAGAAAGTCGTGTTAGAGGAATGTTTATGAAAGTTAATTAACAATACTAATTCAGGTTTTAATAGCACGGGCATTGTCCCCATGGGCAGTGAATACTAGTAAATTACACAAATAAATTCATTTTACAAGTACGTTAAAATATTCGCAACTGATCTTTATGGGCATTTAACAATGCCCATAAAGATCAGCTGCTCATACTTTAACTAGTACATATAATTTTATCACTGCATATTTTACATTTTATCACTGGACAAATCGGTTATCACTGCACACTAAAATTAGGTATGATTAATAGATTAAATTGTCATGGCGTTAAAGATTGGGTGCTCATACGTGCATATGCAGTCAGTTTATTTAAGAACAAAGCATACAGTGAGTTAGCATTAATAGATTATAATTGTCATAGTGTTAAAGGTAGCTATAAGATATATTAGTGGATACGTGATAACACGATTTAAATTTGATGTTTGTGATGTTACTCTGAGTGTATATCCACACCGGGCAGGCTTGAAAAATATGCATGTCCACGGTGGGAATCGAACCTACGACCTTTGGAATACTGGCCCAAATGGCAATGCTCTGCCAACTGAGCTACGCGGTCAGGTCGGTTCGAGTATGTGATATTTCGGAACGGGATAGTCTAAATGGCGCGGGTCGCGAGTCAATAGATCATGGCGCGGGTCCAGCGAAAATGGCGCGGGTCCAGCGAAAATGGCGCGGGTAACAAGTTCCGAGGCGCGAGTAAAAAGTTCCGAGGCGCGGGTAACAAGTTCCGAGATCAATTACCCGGTACTAAATATATTCAAGATGGCGGCTATTTTGACTAAAAATTCTGCAATTATTCGGTCAAATATCGTCTCTTTCTGTGGAAACTCTGCGAGCTTCAAACTTAAACTAACAGACATCAATTACTTAAGCAAATCACGTTTGAAGGCGTTATATTCTGCATATTTTTAAACGCAAAGAGAGTGAACAGTTGGAATGTTTG